GCAGGCGGCGGGAATTTTTAACCTGCCAGGGAGCCAATTACTAGCCGCCACGTGTGAATAATTTAGCACTGGCCAATAACGGGGCACAAATTTGCATCCGAATAGCGGGAACTCTTTGCACCGTGCATTTCTGTGCTGCAAAGAAGAAATGCATCCTGCAAAGGAAACTGCAAATTGGCGGGAACTCTCCTGCATGCAGGCTCTTAATTGCAGCAGAACACTCTGCTGTGCAAAGGAGCTCTCATGTGGCCAGGAAATTCCATAGTGCTGAGGCACAAAAAATCACTGGGTCGTGACACAGAGGAAGGCCACTCGTCTGGTTAAAGGCCTACAGAAAAAACCTTATGTGGACCGATTAGGAGATCTGAACCTCTTCCTCAGCCTCTGCAAGAGGAGGCTGAGAGGTGATCTCATGGCCACCTACAAACTCATCGGGGGGCCAGCAAGAAATAGGGGATACAGTGTTTACCAGGGCGCCTGTCAGGGTAACTAGAAATAATGGCCACAAACTGGAAGAAAGCAAATTCAGATTGGACATCAGGAAAAAATTCTTTAGAGTGAGGGTTGCCAAAATATGGAATAAGCTTCTATGGGAGGTGGTGCTGTCCCCTTCCTTGGAGGTATTTTAAAAGGAGATTGGACAGACACTGGCTGGGGGCATCTGACCTCAGCACTCATTCCTGCCCAGGGTAGGAGGTCGGACTCAATGATCTAATAGGTCCCTTCTGACTCTAACTTCTATAAAACTACTCCCCGCAAAGTTAGGCCCCTAAATACCTTTGAGGATCTGTGCCTAGGTATATATATTGTAGTAATGACTCCTAGGAGAACGTTTTAATTTTAGTAAAACAGTCTTAACAAAACCTCCTAAATCTCAAGCACTATGAGGCCATGTGTGGAGATGTTTTATTCCTAAAGACTTTTCTAGTAAAGATTTTTAAAAGGATTATCAATAATCTTAAGTCAAATAATTTGATCACTACAGCTTTGTGGATACCAAATAGTACTTCTGATACTGAGGTTTCATAAACAGAAGGATTCAGTTGATAATTTGACTAAAGTTAGTGGAGAAAAAAAATCTTCTAAAGTCACTGGAAAAACACTGCTGCCCTAGATGGAGATGTATGATTTACATGCATGTCCCAAGTGTCTCTTTTATGAGGAGATCTTTTTTAGACTTGGGACACATGTGGGGACTTGTTGGAAATGGGTTGAAAGCCTTGTATAAATTATGAAATAAATTCAGCCCATATTGGTGCTGCTGCTGTTCTTTAGAAATAATACTCATCCTTGTGTAAAGGTTGCATTGTGTACACTTCTTTGTCTGAGGTCTCACAACATTTCTTTTGCTATGGAGCTTCTTTTCCTGTCTTTTTCTCCTCTTTGTAGGGGGGGAGCAGAAACCTAAAATAGGAACATGTTTACAGGAGAGATGTATTAGCCATATTGGCCTAGCCCATAGCAAGTGTAGGGTTTGGTTTCAATACTATTCATTGCTTTGGAATAGTATTGGAAGGCTTGCAGTGCCACCATTTTAGGTGGTGCAGCTTCCAAACCCGGTGTAGGTAACCAGATGTGCTGGATAGTACATGGTGGGGAAGCCATCTTGTCACCATACTTCTGCCCTCCATACGCCTCCAGAAGAGTAGAGAAGCTGTAGGCTGTCTTGGCTGTGACATAAGCTGTGCAAGAAGGGTTGCAAGGCATTGCCAGCTTTACATATCCATGTATGACCCTAGCAGAATCAGGCCCATGGAAAGATATTGTTAAAAGGAGTAGAATGTGGTTCAGTCCTTGATTTTACTTCTTTTGCTTCTCTCTGTTTCACATGCCTTTTCTCCACTGTTTTCTTTCAGCTTGAAGCAGAAGCTGTTTTCCGTGCCATCACCATTGCCAGCCGAATCAACTGCCCAGTGTATATCACCAAAGTGATGAGTAAGAGTGCGGCCGATATCATCGCCCTGGCTAGAAAGAAAGGTGCGGCACTCACTGCTTCCTCCCCAAAGGCGGCTTGGACCATGTATGATTTATTGAATAGAGACTGACAACAAAGTCGATACTGTCATAAAGGTGTGATGCACAAGACTGCTCTTGAGGGATCAAACTGTGTTGCTTGACTGCATTCACATGTCTCAGGGAAGGGTTAAAAAAGATTGATAGCTCTGTCACAGGGTGGGGCAATATCTTTTATTCAAATAGCCATTCATGATTTGTGCTTAGGAAAACTGAAGTGAGACCACTTGAATGTATTCATTTCCCCTGCTTTCCATAGCTGGCTCCCACCTGCAATGTTCATCTTAATCCCTTTCCCCAGGTCCTTATCCCAAGCTACTTGATATCCATTGTTGGAAAGATATTTTCCATTTGGCCTAGCATGCACTTTATGTCTTTGAGGATGGTTGCCAGAATGAGACTCTGTACATTGCTTCCTATCACTATGTAGAGTAAGTTCTGCAAAACCTCACGTGTTCATAGTGACTGGGGAAAGACAGAGTACTAACAGTAGGCAGAGGAGAGGAGGTTGCTCTCTTGGTAATGTTGAAGAAGTCTTTCCCCATGTTCAGTTCTTATTCTCCCCACCACACACCATCCCATACTGCTTACTCCTGCCTTGAACTCCCCTTTTGTTGAATGTTTTTTTCTTCTCCATTGTCTGTGCTTTTCTTTCTTCACCATATTTTTTTCCTCCCCTTGCCCTTGATTTGTTCTACTTTGCTCCCTCCATCTGCTGTAACATCTCTTTTTTTAGATCTTTAGAGAAATGGCAGGGGTAAGAAAAGCTGCTTCACCTAATCTGTATCTCTCCATCACAGCAAAGTTTTCCACTACTCATTTTAGAGTAGATAACAGAGGGAGGGAAGTCTGAGTGGAGCACAGCTGTGCTGCTCTGCACAGCTAAGGAATATGTGCTAACTTGACAGTCACCAAGGACAGGCTGGTAGGAACAGCACTTTCCTCAACTGGGGGCAGCTAGAATCTCTGCCACTGAGCAATGCACAGAGGCCAAGGTCTGAGGGCATGTGCCCTTTTTGATTTTTAGTATGTCCCTGTTAGATCAAACTTGAGGTTCATTGGTGTGTGTTCCTGCGCTCCCGTTTGCTTGCGCCCTCCCTTGTCCTGGAAACCTGTAAAGAACTTCAGGAACCAAGTGCTCAGATTTATTTAGAAGCAGAGAGAGAGAAATGTCCATGGTAAAATAATTCTAGCTGAACACAACTCTGAACATACTTCCGCCCAGGTTGCAGAGAACTCAGTAAATGACCTGATCACAAGCACATGTGGCAGGGCAAAGTCACTTGCTTAAATTTTTATAACATGAGCAGAGTTGGGGCTCTTTAATTTCTTAGGAGTTATTCTGCTCATGTAAGCAATTGTAAGTTATTCATGGCTGTGCTCAGTAAATAGCATAATACACTGGAAAGAGAGGATCTTTTAACCCCACTGTATATTTTTACTTCTCCTTAGGTCCTCTCGTCTTTGGAGAGCCAATCACTGCCAGCCTGGGGACAGATGGGACACATTACTGGAGCAAAAACTGGGCCAAAGCTGCAGCCTTTGTGACTTCACCACCTCTGAGCCCTGATCCCACCACACCAGATCACTTGAACTCGCTCCTAGCATGGTATCACCAGTATTGTTTATATACATTAAACAGAGCTGGTCATTGCTGATCAAAAGAATGCAAAAAGCCACACCAGCTGTGGGATTTAGAGAAGATCCTTAGCCTAGTGTGTTCCTTTGACTTCAGAGGGCCTTGAATTAAACTCTTGGTGCATGCAGTTGTGGTAGACAGCAGATGTTTAAACTACAGCTGAACCGGTCCTTATGGGCCCAATCTTACTTTCATTAAAGCCAAAGGCAGAACTCTTAGTTTAATGCATCTAGCTCTTAGTTTAATGGCTCTAGCTCACTCTTAGTATGAGCTACATCAGGCTCAGATTTACTCTAGTAAATGGCAAAAACAAAGGCCAAATCAAAATGTAGATGATCATAGTAATCAGGATACAGGATTAGTAATCAGGATACAGGGCTGAAATCAGCTTGCAAAGGCAGATTTCCCTTGTCCCCTTCAGAGGCTGGTGGAATGTATGATTTACATAATGCACAAAAAGCATCAAAAGGAACAAGAGAAATAAAGAAAAAGAGCTTGCTTGTTTTCTATGGCAGAGGCATACGGGAGATTAGGAGCCAGATTCAAAAAGGTATTTAGGTTAAAGGTGCCTAAATATTTTAGATGTATATTGCTTTAGTGTGGAGATGGTAAAACAAATCACATTTTACTTGGAAGACTGATGTATTATCTAGAATTTTCCTGAAGAAATGGGGCACTAATTTTATTTAATGCTGAGCATTATTGGTGTTATTTAAAAGCTCCCAAGCTAGAAGTGTCAATACTGTTAGGCCTTGCAACCTCCTCCAAACTAAAGATCTCTTAGGGTAATCAGATTAGTTTCTGGATGGCCCCTCTGAACCTGAGAGGGTAGAGACTCACAGAAAGAGGTGGCAAGCACTTCTGAAAATCAGACTTGTGTGTAAGGGCTAGATTTTTAAGAATTTTTAGTTACAATTAGGGGTATTTTGCCAGGAACAATGCTGGCTGCTTGGAGGCATGGTTTTGTCTAGAATGGTTTTGCTTCCTCCTTGGTACCAGCATATGTATCTAGCCTTTATGATTCCTGTTGTGCTCCCCTCCTCTGCCTTTGCTGATTCTAAGTCTTTCCTCAGGATACCCTCATAGAAGAAAAGTCCTTGCGCCAGAACAAGTCTTTAAGAGGTTTAGTTTGCATATGAAAGAGACAGGCTGGCAATGGGAGAGTGTCAGCACACTTGACAGTGATGAGAGTCTGCTGGCCCTCTTCAAAGGGACCACAGGGAGGCCAGGATGGGGAGAATTGTTATTAGAGACATGGCAGGGAGAGGGTGAGGGTAGGAAAAGCAAAGAGGAGGAGGGAGGAGGAAAAGCAGGCAGGAATCAGGAGGGGAGCTGCGTTAGCTGAGGAAGATCAGGAAGGATCATTCAGCCTGAGGACTCCAAGGGGTAACCCACTGTCAGTCTGCCCACAAAGATGCAGGTAGCTCTGAACATTTTCACCAACTTATCAACATTGTGCCTCTTCCATAAACTGCTCCTGGTTTCTGAGGCTATCACCTCCTGAAAGCTAGCACTGCTTCTAGCAATTGATATCCTCTTCAGCTTGAGTGGAAGAG